TCAGTGACGGTTAATTTAATGTTTTCTTTGGTTGGCATATTTAACTGGGAAAATTCAAATTTTATTCAAAAGAATTTCATCGATGCGGAAAGGATATTACAAGCCGAAATTTGATAAAGTATGATTTAAATTACGTTGTGGAATTGATGTGTTTTGAACTTCTTTCTTCGAACTTTAGCATTTGTATAGTACAACTAATTCAATAATTTCACTATGTAAATTTAAATTAAAACTAAAATTCTTATTATGTTAACAATAGAAGGCGTTCTACATTTTTAGAGATTGATTTTATATTATTGACGAAATCGTGTGCTTTTTAAATTTCTTTTATTTGTTTTTAGTCTTTTCCTAGTTTGAATTTTAGTTATCAATATGCGTCTAAATATCAGAGAGAAATTGACTGAAGGGAGCATGTGTCAAAAGACATAACTACACTCAACTACTCAATAAAAACAGCCAATTGATTAGTAACCATTTATCTTTCAGAAACTGTGGTAATTCCCCAAAACATTTCAAGAAATGACAAAAATCGTAGCAGAAGTGGTATCAATTTTTAGGTTCTTACTCCTTAAGTTTAAACTATGAAACTATTTTGCTGGTCCATCCACATCGACGCTAACTCCAATCATATCTAATCTTAAGGAATACTCTAACTTTTGTAAAAGTTTTCAACTCGAGCTNAGGAGATCGGGCTGAAACTATAGCTACAAGCTATCCAAGGATGGTACTATAGAATGTCACCTCAAGGTAGGCCTAGTGGCGTCATCTCTTGGTTAGGCCGGAAACTTATCAATCCACCCTCGTATAACGTATCATCACGATTGAACATGCACCTCCACTCTTTCCTAATACCGAAATAGTCTTCGCATTTCCCTAAAACTAGAACATCCCACACCCTTAACTATTTGGGGACAATGAAAAGAAATTTGTTATACTAAAAACAAAGTTTTAAGAAAGTTATGGGGCCCTTCATTGGGAAGAAAACTAACTGAGTGAATCCGCGACTGATACTTGAAAATTATTTTCAAACCCGATTCTTGTTACTAGGTCAAAGATTTTCAAAGCCAGGTTGTTGAGGTAAGAAGCTGTTTTGAAAACAGCTTTATAAGTTCAAAAGTACGTGATTCCGCATGAAAAAATTCTACCTTGCCCGTAAAGCAGCAACTTCTGAATTTTAAAACATCAAAACTCCTATTCATATATTTGAAAAGACTTCGGTACCTACCTTTGAAATGTTGCCAGCGAGCAATTCAATGAGTGTTATCAATTTATTCGGTATTGTAAATCAGTGACGGTTAATTTAATGTTTTCTTTGGTTGGCATATTTAACTGGGAAAATTCAAATTTTATTCAAAAGAATTTCATCGATGCGGAAAGGATATTACAAGCCGAAATTTGATAAAGTATGATTTAAATTACGTTGTGGAATTGATGTGTTTTGAACTTCTTTCTTCGAACTTTAGCATTTGTATAGTACAACTAATTCAATAATTTCACTATGTAAATTTAAATTAAAACTAAAATTCTTATTATGTTAACAATAGAAGGCGTTCTACATTTTTAGAGATTGATTTTATATTATTGACGAAATCGTGTGCTTTTTAAATTTCTTTTATTTGTTTTTAGTCTTTTCCTAGTTTGAATTTTAGTTATCAATATGCGTCTAAATATCAGAGAGAAATTGACTGAAGGGAGCATGTGTCAAAAGACATAACTACACTCAACTACTCAATAAAAACAGCCAATTGATTAGTAACCATTTATCTTTCAGAAACTGTGGTAATTCCCCAAAACATTTCAAGAAATGACAAAAATCGTAGCAGAAGTGGTATCAATTTTTAGGTTCTTACTCCTTAAGTTTAAACTATGAAACTATTTTGCTGGTCCATCCACATCGACGCTAACTCCAATCATATCTAATCTTAAGGAATACTCTAACTTTTGTAAAAGTTTTCAACTCGAGCTTCAGCTGTCTTAAGAAGCGTTTCTAATTCAAATTCCACCTATCGAGGAATGCAATAAAAGTCATTTTTCCTTGTGTAAGTTAAAAAGGATATTATTCCTTCATGCTTTTTTGCCTCTTTGATTCAAGTCAAACAAATACATATTAAAATAGCGAAAGACCGGGATGCTGTAATTTTATACCCTTTGTGCTTTATAAAATTTATGTCTAATGTAGTTCCACTGCTTTTTCAACATTTAATCCAAAAGCCCGTTTATTAAAAGTAATAAAAAAGCACAAAGAGTTTCCCCCAGCAATATTATACTCTTATATTGTAGTAAATATGGAACTAATCAAATTATTATATTGATATTCAAAAATTCAAAAAGAAAATTCTGAAGTTTATACTCAGAAAAACTCTAATATTATGTATAGAAATATGCGTTTGAAATTGATTACATATTTCTGGAATACTTGTTGAACCCGTCCAGATTTGAAGGGCGGAGACCGTTGTCACTAGTGCAAGTCACTTACAGTTTAATCATGGCGATCCCCCGAACCATAACCTATCTTAAACCCTTGGTACATATACCAACCAGGAAAACCTATCCATCCATAACCTAATCTAGTGTCTACCACTTAAACTATAATGTAGCATTGCACTAAAATTAATTATTTAATGTGTAAAAACGTCATCATATTCATGAGAATGGTGTAAAGTTACCAAACTCTTTTGCAAAAGGACTAATAAATTCATTTTCTTTTTTTTCCTTAGAAATACCAACATTACCAAACATTCGACTAAATAACTAAATTATCCCACAGGCAGACCTTTTTTTTACATCTGATACTTTCCTCTAAAGGACGGTTAACTTCTGGAATGGTTGCCTTCTTATCTCATTACTGACAAATAGATACAAACATATCGAGGCCAAAAATTCGATCACTTTTTTCCTCGAAAAGGGTAAAGATAGTATCAATTTCAATTCAAGAAACAGCCAATAAATTTTACCTTTTCTTATTTGAAATATACTTTTCTAAATAAAAGAAAAGATCGCTTATAGATACAGGGTGTAACAGGAATAAGTGCCGAGCTTTTGAGGGTGTAAACCAAATGCAATAAACAAGGTGATTAAAGGCAAACTTTTTTTAAAGAAAATCAATAATTTACAATCCGAAGCCGGCCCTGTGCGTGAACTGGCAACATAGCTGTCTACTGAATAGCGTAGTGCGATAAAAACTATACTGTTACATGAATGAAGAATGTAAACATTCCGATTGACAAGCATCTAAGATAAACATAAACAATTTATTATTACACATAATGTTTAGAATAAATAAATTAAATAAGTGTAGTACAGGCAACACTACATAATCATTTAGTATAGCGTTGCGGTTGCTGTTTCTTTAACAGAGCCGGAATTGAATTTATCTGTACTTTCAACTATGTTTTTCTCGAAAATGGTGAACTTTTGGAATTTTCATGTTTCTCTGATACATCCTGCAAGCTTGGCACTTATTTCTGTTACACACTCTATATTACGTATATACCAATATTCTAAGTCTCCAAAATGACTCAACAACAGTTGAGTACAATTAAATTTAAATAAATTTAAAGCAAGATACATATATCAATCATTGTATCACCTCTTCCAATTTGAATTAATTCATTCTCATTCCAGAAACATATTTAAACCCTTACTTACTTTAATGTCAGTAACAGGTTAATCTCTAAATCATGTAATGAAAGAATGAAGTAAAGCAAAAATTATTACGGCAACATAGGTACAGAATTCTTTCAAATCTGTTACTCGAATATTTCATACACTAGTGTATATTATAACTTCTTATCGTAAACCCCTTCTACATTCGATTTATCATATCATAAATTACCAATACATGACGTATTTTATTTTCATATGTTTAACAACCCATTTCACATTTTACGAATAAAATTCCCCGTTTTATATAGTGAGAGCAAAATTTTAAGTCAACTTGAAAATTGCATTTTCTCGCCGGAAGTTTGAAGAGTATAAAATGTACTGTACAGTCGCCATCGATTTTCCATTTTATACTTTTATTTCATATACGGGACACGTCAACTATATAAACCGTACTCTTTTCAAGCAAATGATAAACTTTTATTATTCTGATGTACTATCCGGTAAACAATAAAGCAACCCCTTGTAATAATGCGGTATTATTCACATCAAGATATCCTGCCTTGTGGAGTACCATAACGTATAAAGTGGATTAAAATAATCTAAGTGCATCTGAGAACAAGAGAGTCCAAAATGATCATACAATAAAATAGACACAAAAGAGCTTATTATTCATATCACGATACTGAATAGGTGAAACCAATGGGGATATGTGCTTTAATGCGAAAAATAACCTGGTTTTTAAGATGAGTCGTGAGCAAGCACAAAGGATAAAGGTACCATTTTTCAGCGACAAATTATAGTCGATTTATAGGCGATACAGTATTTTTGTGGGTCATTTTTACTTCGAGATACGCTATGTGTAGTGCAAGCTATGGCAACTCTGCAGTCGTTTTTCGCTGGACAGCTATAGAGATATCATCTTTCAACGACAAATTATAGGCGATACAGTATTTTTGTGAGTCATTTTTATTTCGAGATACGCAATGTGTAGTACCAGCTTGACGAGACCAGTCGTTTTTCGCTGGACAGTTGGAGGATGAGACCAACGACAAAATGGATAATGATACCATCTGTCAACGAAAAATTATAGGCGATACAGTATTTTTATGAGTGATTTCTGTTTCGAGATAGGCTATGTGTATTGCCAGCTATGGCAGCTGTCCAGTCGTTTTTCGCTGGGCAGCTGGAGAATGATACCAGCGACAAAATGGATACAGGATAACATCATATTATTCATACCAAGATACTAAATAAGTAATACCAACGGCAATACTGTGCTTTATATGCGATAGATCACCTGTTCTTTAAGCACAAAAGGAGCCCGAACTAATCCTCTAGCTCCTAACATATCGAATAATGAAATTGAAATAGACAATAATAATAATACAACTTACCTTTCGGACTTGGGGTCAATTCTTTCATCACAATCCTGACTTGTAGGTCGTACTTTTTGAAGAGGGACGGTAGTTTCCTAGAGAGTGACAGCTTCGCGTTGTTGACCGCTTTGGTGTATTCTCGAACACCAAACGATTTCTGGGGCACCACCAAACCCAGCTGGAGTATTTTTTGATTGGTGGAGGTTGTCGGATTGATTACAGGGGCAGGTGTTGTGGTCGTTGTTCTTCCGGACCTGGAGGAACCAATTCGTAAACCGTTTCCGCGGCCGAGAGACGCGTTTCGCGACGACCCGGAACCAATTTTTAGGGCCGGTGCCCTCGTTACCGCGTTCGATTTGTTCCACGCTGGTCCACCACTCACAACCAGAAGGGCTAGTGCCACTGTTAATAACAAATTGGTAAGATACATTTTTAATCACTAGAGTTCTTCAGTTGCAGTCCCCTTTGGTTTCAACCATTTCTCCACCATGTCCAACTGAAATAAATTAAGGGATATTGGATAATCTATCTATTTGAATAAATGGATAATTTCAAACCCAAACAAGTAAGTACCTACATCTGACATTAAATGACTAAATGCACTTTTTGATATATAATTGATTATAAAGAATCGAACGTAAACAATCCCTAGACAAAAATTTTCAGTTTCTCTCCTGTCTCTCAGAGTCTTTCAGCGTCTCTGAGAGCGTCTCTCACATTCACTCACAGTCTCTCCGTTATTGCATAGGTGTTTTTATGAATCACTCACAGTCTCTGTATGAGAGACCCGGACGATGAGATTTTTAATTCAGAGATTCGAGTCTCTCAAAGACAGACTGAATGAATAAAGCTGAAAAATTGAGCAACTCGAATCTCTCGTAGAAAGACTGAGATTTCTGAAATATGTTGAAATTTTAACCATGTCAATCGAGACATCACTTATTGAGAGATTCGAGTTTCTCCTTCAGAGATTCGAGTCTCTCGTTCAGAGACTGGATACGAAATGAGGATCTCTCTATGAGGGACTCGAGTCTTTCGTTCAGAGACGCTAAACAGTTTTTTTGACAGTCTCTCTCTGCGACACCAGAGAGACTCGATGAGAGAAGGAGACTCGAGTCTCGCATTCAGAGACTCTGAAAGGCCGAACATTTTTATCTCGAGAATAAAACTAGACAACTAACCTATTATAGAAACTCTCATCGAATAAATTGAACAATTGGACTATGAAATGGATGCATTGACGCGACGGTTTATGGGCAAGAAACTCAAAATTGGTTAAAAGACAAGGAATCAAATCAATGGTTCACCACAGTGCTTTGTAGAAGGTCAGGTCATACCAAATTTGAACGTTGATATCTTATTGCTTAATTTTAATAAATTATTTATCAATTACACAACAAAAAGAGCATCGGTTTTTGATCGATTTCGTATGTATCTAAGTTATGATTAAAAATGATAACCAGTCAGTAGATAAATAATTTTACAGGAACAAAACTCGAGGAAGAAAAATATTCGATGCGGGGTTTCTGTCGGGACGTTTTTGAATTTGCATCTAAATTGTACCAAATCGGAACCTAAACGCGTCACTTGGGATGTTATGTTCCTACCTGACGCCGAACAAAATATAAAGAAGTTGCATATTTTATAACTGAAACAAGACACGGTTTCCCATTGCGAATGTTGTTTTCTCGAAAAATGGTCTAGAATGCAAAAATTTCTAACCAGCTTTTTCTGCTTGTAGAATTTACTTTACCTATCGGAAATTTGTTCTTATTATAAAACTGTGTCTATACGCTCTACACAAAAATTTTCAGTCTCTCTCCAGTCTCTCAGAGCCTTTCAGTCTTTCAGCGTCTCTGAGAGTGTCTCTCACAGTCTCTCAGTTATTGCCTAGGTGTTTTTATAGATCTCTCACAGTCTCTGTATGAGAGACTAGAACGATAAAATTGTTAATTCAGAGATTCGAGTATCTAACAGAGAGACTGAATGAATAAAACTGAAAAATTGAGAGACTCGAGTCTCTCGTAGAAAGACTGGGATCTCTGAACTTGAAATTTTAACCATGTCTATCGAGACACCACTTGTTGAGAAATACGAGTCTCTCGTTCAGAGATTCGAGTCTCTCGTTTAGAGACGCTAACAGTCTCTCTCAGCGGCACCAGAGAAACTCGATGAGAGACGGAGACTCGGGTCTCGCTTTCAGAGGCTCTGAGAGACTGAACATTTTTATCTCGGGCGTAATCGTACATTATGTATTATCAACAGTTAAACTGCATTAAGGCGAGTCCTCATCGAGTCAAAACCGAGTCCTGATCAATATAAGTTTATTGTGGCTATGTACTGATTCTCGATTTCCGGCAATACTTTTATAAATAAAGTAATTGCACCTCCAAATTTGCAATTAATGCAGTATTACAGAGTTTACCTTTTATACACTGAACGAAAAGTAAGCTTGTACCGGTTGACAATACAAATATTTTCTTTCAGTGTACGGAAGGTAACTTTTTGAGTTACATCATAGCTTTCCACAAGATCGAAAATTTAAGAGATGTTGAACGTTCGTGGAATTTCAAAGGAATGAGATGAAATATGAAACTAATAAACGGGAAAAGGTCTTTTTCGACCACCAACAGCTTTAAAATTAGATTTAACAAAGGTATACCTTTAAAAAATGTGGTTTTTAACAATTTCTGTACCTATATCAGTCCGATGAGAAAACCATAGTGTGGTTCTATATTAATAAAATACAAATATTCAGCAGCATCCCTGTTCATATTTGAATACAAAATTACTTAAATTTTAAAAGAATACTATACTTCATTTACTTTCTCTAACGATGTGCCCCTTCCAATGTCTTGGATGCGCGCTGGCAAAATCGTAGGTAGGTAGTAAAAAAACTCATTATACTCTCGACTCTTGTTCATTAAACATACTTTTTCAAACAGTACCTGCCAAAAGTTTTGTTCAATCATGAATAGTAGTGCGAGTCGAAAACAAGCGTTAAAGCCTTTAATATGTCTTCAAATATAAATAAACATCTCGTTGATATTTTCAGTAGTAANTACTTTTTCATACAGTACCTGCCAAAAGTTTTGTTCAATCATGAATAGTAGTGCGAGTCGAAAACAAGCGTTAAAGCCTTTAATATGTCTTCAAATATAAATAAACATCTCGTTGATATTTTCGGTAGTAACTGATACCAATAACAGCACATTTGAGCAATGAAATTGTAGTGGATAAAATGGTAAATTTTTCCGTGCAGTACTGTACGGATTATACGCTCCTCACCGGTTAAAAGTTTGGACGAGAGTTGTCGCCTTCCTTTTCTGGCCTAGTGCTGTTCTTTTCTACTTTGCGCCGCTCAAACTGAAGGTCACATCGCTACAGAAAGTAAACGAAGTCTATCTACCTACTTACTATCTTGTGATACTTTGGGCTTTATGTGAGACATGAGGTATTGAAACCAATTTCATTTATCGCTGTCATAAAGAGGACTATCTACGTATGAAATTCAATGTAGTAAAATCAATCATGCGAGAACTTTATTCACATGTAATAAATTTCCTAATTTCCTTCTAGTGTAACTGAATAAGTACTACATTGTCGTTACGTATTACCACCTCATATAATATAACTACTTATGCACAAAAGCGTGCACAATATTTAAACAAAGCATAGATCAACTAAAATTATAGTTTAACTTGAACTTTAACAAATCGTTTGATTATTTATTATATTATTAAAACGAAGAGCAAATCGTGTATAATTATTAATTAGGGTACAAAAATTATTTTGATCCATAAATTCATTTGCGCACGCCGGAAACTGAGGTTCGCCCTGTTATACAACTAATAAACTTTCAAAGAAGTTTGAGGAAATTGGAACCGACAGGGTATTCCATGGGGTTTTCCTCGGGTCAAGTTTCCGTGTAGTCGAAAAATCAGCGTGAAATATTACTAGAAAGAAGCAGCACTGAGAATTTATTGCTGTCAAAAAGTTTCCTGTTACTTAAGTAAAGCTTAATCTTTCTACTTTCTTTCACGTTCACTGCAAAACACGGCTCCAATCCCAAACAATTAAGTCAAACATATATGAAATTCTACGACATTGTTAGTGACTTAATAGTGGATTAATATGCAATATTAATTTGAAATCATTTTTTCGATTTTTAATTTACCCACCACACGCTAGCTCAAATTAATGAGGGAAAAATTGTTGCTGTTCTCACACCCCCGCCGGGAATCGAACCCGGGCTCTTTGGCTTTACGCACCAATGTTCTGACCACTAAACTACAAGAGGTGACAACATGTTGAGGTAGTTTGTAGTGGGTAAATAAAAAATGGAAAAAATGATTTCAAATTAATATTAAGTCAAACATCTTACAATAAGAAACTTAACTACATAATAAATGACGTAGCATCTACAAGACTTGACCAAAAATTAAAGCAAACTGAAAGGGTGAATTTTTCTACAAATTTTACTGTAAACTTTTAAGACAGAATAACCCCCTAGACCTTTCATAGGTGGACACCCTTAAGGGGAAAATGTAACACATTTATGTTTCCTAATTTAGAATTTAAAAAAGTAAAGAAAATCTTTCTACAGTTATACGAGGGTGGATTGATAAGTTTCCGGCCTGACCAAGAAAAACAAGGTTTTTAAAAATTTTTTTTTTTTATTTCTCAACATAATCTCCTCCAAGGCTGATACATTTCTCATAGCGGTGTTCCAGTCTATTAATGCCATCTCTATAGACTGATTCGTCAAGCTCCTCAAAATAACCATTTACAGCTTCGATTACTTCTTCATTGTCCGCAAATCTCTTACCGCCAAGCCATTTTTTGAGATTAGGGAACAGAAAATAGTCACTCGGGGCTAGGTCTGGAGAGTAAGGAGGGTGCGGCATCAATTCAAACTTTAGATCGTTGATTTTAGCCGTCGCAACGATTGACGTGTGCGCTGGTGCGTTATCGTGATGAAACAAGATTTTTTTCTTCGCCAGATGAGGTCGTTTAATTTTCACCTCGTGGCTCAAACGTTGCAATAAGTCTGCGTAGTATTGACCAGTGATAGTATTACCCTTTGCAAGGTAATCAATGTATATAATACCTCTTGCATCCCAAAAAACAGTAGCCATAACCTTGTTCGCCGAAAAAATTGTTTTTGCCTTCTTTGGAGTTGGTTCCCCTGGTCCAATCCACTGTTTAGACTGTTCTTTGGTTTCAGGAGTGTAGTGGTGGACCCACGTTTCGTCAACGGTTACGAATCGACGCAAAAATTCGCTTGGATTACGCTTATACAATGACAAATTTGCGGTAGAAATGTTTTTTCGAATCAATTTTTGGTCGACTGTTAGCAAACGCGGCACCCATCTTGCACAGAGCTTTTCCATATGCAAATGTTGGTGCAAAATATGTTGCACACGTTCATATGACATCTTACAGGTCTCAGCTATCTCACGCACTTTCAATCTGCGGTCTCCCAGCACTATTTGA